AGAGAGAGAGAGAGAGAGAGAGAGCACAAACCGTGTCCCCATTCGAGACCACTTTGCCAGTCGGTATCGCCAGTGTCTAAGTCTTTGTCGAATATACCGATAGTGTTGTCGGGATTTAGTTTTGTAAACCCATAGACGAGATGAGTGCACACCAGAGGGTTAGTGCTCTCGGCCTCGAACTGCATATGAAATTGTTTGGTAATTATTTAACTTTATTATATTTATAAACAAATTGTTTGTAAACGCATTTCACACACCTTTCCATCGCCAGGCCTATAGAAAGACCAGGAGCCCCAATAACATACCACACGATACTTTTGATTGAACCTATCTGTATATTACATAGTCAATTAATACAAAAAAGGTTCAGGTACACTTATATAATTAAATGAGTGATTGAAATTATGAACTCGCGTATTGCAATATACAATGTACCAATAATGTCAGTACATGTACTAACGATTAAGAATATTAATTTAACCATTTAATAATTTGCTTAATAATTGCTATAATAGTAGGTTAAAAATCATTTAAATTATTTCTAACTGTAGAGAAAAGTGCATTTTAAGGACATTTGCAATAAATAAATATTAAATTTTCTACAATCATTATCAATACATTTTAAAAACAAACAAAATATTGATTACAAAATATCATTGATAATATTAATTATACATTAATAACAGTAATAAATAACTTTTAAAATAATTATTTGCAACTTTTACTAAATACACACAAAATTAAAGGGATTAATAAGTGACTCAAAGAGATGTACCTTTAGATGCGGACTCACTGTTGATAATGAGGGCAATTAATGCCAAACAACACAACGCAAACTTCATCTTCAAAAGGCTGTAAAAATCCTTCAAAAAACAATACAAAGTTTTTTGAAATGAAAGTTAGGGCTCACCGGTTGGGCCGACAACTGAACACTGGTGTGAGATCTGCCCTCAAATAAATAGCAATGAATTTTTTATTTGATAACAACTTTTTTTCTGTGATTTTTCGTTACCAAGAGATTAATCCGCAAAACAATTATAACTCATTGAGAATTTAGTCGATAACAGACCCCTGAAAAGTAGTGGATGTTTACGTCATTATTCCCTATAATATTCAGTTATTAAATACTTTATTTGGATTTTATAATGACTGCAATAAAATGAAAATTGTTTTAAAATTAATTAGTATTTTTATTTATGTATTATATTTGATGTGCGATATTGTATGCGATGAACGATATGTTTATTGGTTGTGATGCGGGATCTGGTGTGACATATGGTGGACCAGAAACTACATGTTTAATACCAACAAAATACTAAACTAACGGAACAACCCATATATGTCTGAGAATCGACAGATATTTTACCATATATTATACGCTGACATTGAAATTATTAATT